TGTTAGGGTATCATTGTTCTGGACCCCCCAGTGTCAGGGTGTCATTGTCCTGGACCCCCCAGTGTCAGGGTATCATTGTCCTGGACCCCCCCCAGTGTTAGGGTATCATTGTTCTGGACCCCCCAGTGTCAGGGTGTCATTGTCCTGGACCCCCCAGTGTCAGGGTGTCATTGTCCTGGACCCCCCCAGTGTTAGGGTATCATTGTTCTGGACCCCCCAGTGTCAGGGTGTCATTGTCCTGGACCCCCCAGTGTCAGGGTATCATTGTCCTGGACCCCCCCAGTGTTAGGGTATCATTGTTCTGGACCCCCCAGTGTCAGGGTGTCATTGTTTCTGGACCCCCCAGTGTCAGGGTGTCATTGTTCTGGACCCCCCAGTATCAGGGTGTCATTGTTCTGGACCCCCCAGTGTCAGGGTGTCATTGTCCTGGACCCCCCCAGTGTCAGGGTGTCATTGTTCTGGCAGTGTTTCATTGTTCTGGACCCCCCCCCCCCCGGCAGGAACCCACAATCAGGTTCTCGGCTCCCAGACAGGGGCCACATTCACTAAGCAGGATCCCATAATATGGTCGCCCGGGTCACAATATACAGACACAAATGTGCGCCTCGGACACGGCAGGACGTGCCATGTGAACACACCGGGGACTGTAGAGAACGCAGAGGGAGGGGCACACAGAGGTACACACTTGGCGCTTCGTTAGGATGCTGGATATGTAATTAGCTCAGGGTGACCTCTGGGAAAAAAAAAAAAAGATACAAAATAAAGAAAAGAGTAAAATACTCTTCAATGTTAGAGAGAAAATATCTCCTAATGTTATGCAAATTGTCAGCGAGGCAATCAGACCGCGCAGCCCGACAGCTAGACCGGCGACTGCCGAGGAGAGTCATTTACATGCAATTACCCAGAGTGCCCTGAGAGGGCCCCTCCCTGGCTCTAGGAAGGGACATTAGAATGGCGGAGATAGGACGGCCTCATTGTCCTAAAGGCCGAAAGGCTGGGGGGGATGGGCAGAATGTGAGGTAGGTGGGCCGTACGAGGGCCGTGCGGGGGCCGGCCACCACTGCGTCCTCTATAAATCATCTCTGCTAATTAAAGGTAATAGGAGACGGAGAATCTCCACTTAACTCAACAGTCCTTACTGATATCTACAGGCGCCATGTACTAAACACCACTTGTGCCTGTAATGGAGAGATTATATACAGCCAATGAGAACAAAGCTACAAACCTTTCTATAGAAGAGGCGTTTTATGGGGTTCCCGCTCCTCTGCAGGGACGCGTTCCCATTCCTGGGTCTCCCCAGCGCGCTCTCTGCCTAAATTATATATTGTAAAGGAGAACGGCTGCAGAGTCTGATACGGCATCCCCAGCATACCTTCCATGGTATATGATACAGTATAAAGGAGAATAGCCGCACACTCAGACATGGCATCCCCAGCATACCTTCCATGGTATATGATACAGTATAAAGGAGAATAGCCGCACACTCAGACATGGCATCCCCAGCATACCTTCCATGGTATATGATACAGTGTAAAGGAGAATAGCCGCACACTCAGACATGGGCATCCCCAGCATACCTTCCATGGTATATGATACAGTGTAAAGGAGAATAGCCGCACACTCAGACATGGCATCCCCAGCATACTTTCCATGGTATATGATACAGTGTAAAGGAGAATAGCCGCACACTCAGACATGGCATCCCCAGCATACCTTCCATGGTATATGATACAGTGTAAAGGAGAATAGCCGCACACTCAGACATGGCATCCCCAGCATACTTCCATGGTATATGATACAGTGTAAAGGAGAATAGCCGCACACTCAGACATGGCATCCCCAGCATACCTTCCATGGTATATGATACAGTATAAAGGAGAATAGCCGCACACTCAGACATGGCATCCCCAGCATACCTTCCATGGTATATGATACAGTATATAAAGGAGAATAGCCGCACACTCAGACATGGCATCCCCAGCATACCTTCCATGGACTCGGATAAAGTGTAAAGGAGAATAGCCGCACACTCAGACATGGCATCCCCAGCATACCTTCCATGGTATATAATACAGTGTAAAGGAGAATAGCCGCACACTCAGACATGGCATCCCCAGCATACCTTCCATGGTATATGATACAGTATAAAGGAGAATAGCCGCACACTCAGACATGGCATCCCCAGCATACCTTCCATGGTATATGATACAGTATAAAGGAGAATAGCCGCACACTCAGACATGGCATCCCCAGCATACCTTCCATGGTATATGATACAGTATAAAGGAGAATAGCCGCACACTCAGACATGGCATCCCCAGCATACCTTCCATAATATATTATACAGTATAAAGGAGAATAGCCGCACACTCAGACATGGCATCCCCAGCATACCTTCCATGGTATATGATACAGTGTAAAGGATAACGGCTGCAGCCTCTGAAATATAACATCCCCAGGATACCTTCAGATGAACATCGCACTGGAAAAAGCTGAATATCTTTCAAAAAGCATGGATCCACAAAGCATTCTCTACTCGTTTTCTCTGATAACCAGACTGCAGACATTGGCAGTTGGACCTTGTGTAGTCGGGTTGTTGGGGATGCAGACATTGGCACTTGGACCCTGTGTAGTCGGGTTGTTGGGGATGCAGACATTGGCAGTTGGACCCTGTGTAGTCGGGTTGTTGGGGATGCAGACAATTTGGCAGTTGGACCCTGTGTAGTCGGGTTGTTGGGGATGCAGACATTGGCAGTTGGACCCTGTGTAGTAGGGTTGCTGGGGATGCAGACATTGGCAGTTGGACCCTGTGTAGTCGGGTTGCTGGGGATGCAGACATTGGCAGTTGGACCCTGTGTAGTCGGGGTTGTTGGGGATGATGCAGACATTGGCAGTTGGACCCTGTGTAGTCGGGTTGTTGGGGATGCCATTTCACAAACCCGAATAGTCTTCACTGAACCCTGATTTGCTGCACTGAGCAGCTGTCACTTCTCCTGACACACAGAGAGAGGGACGGACAATGTTCATAAAAGTAGTGCATGTGACTTTCACACATGCACCAGTAAGATTCACCGGCAGTGAATGTCGGATTCTCTGATTATATACACATATACAAAACCCAATTCTGCCCGGGGGTGTCAGGAGTCAGGAGAAATCATTATCTGTATATTATGGAGCTTCTCCAGAGCCAGGAAACCACAAAGACCTGACATCTTCCATTATTTTTGTAATATATACAATATATGAGTAGGAAGGAAGGAGGAAAGGAGGAAGGAAGGGAGGGAGGAAGGGAGGGAGAGGGAGGAAGGAAGGGAGGGAGGGAGGGGAAGGGAGGGAAGGGAAGGAAAGGGAGGGAAGAGGGAGAGGGAAGGAAGGGAGGGAGGGAGGGAGGGAGGGAGGGGGAGGGAGGGAAGGGAAGGGAAGGGAGGGAGGGAGGGGGGAAGGAGAGGAAGGAAGGAAGGGAGGAAGGAGAGGAGGGAGGGAGGGATGGGAGGAAGGAAGGAGGTGGAGAAGGAAAGGAAGGAAAGGGAAGGGAGGAGGGAAGGAAGGGAGGGAGGAAGGAAGGAAGGAAGGAGGGAAGGGAGGAAGGAAGGAAGGAAGGGAGGGAGGGAAGGAGGGAAGGAAGGAAGGAAGGAAGGAAGGAAGGAAGGAAGAAAGGAAGGAGGGAAGGGAGGAGGGAAGGAAGGGAGGAGGGAGGAAGGGAGGAAGGAAGGAGAGGAAGGAAGGAGGAAGGAAGGAAGGAAGGAAGGTAGGAAGGAAGGAAGGAAGGAAGGGAAGATGGAAGGAAGGAGGGAAGGAGGAAGGGAAGAAAGAAGGGAGGAGGGAAGGAAGGAAGGAGGGAGGAGGGAAGGGAGGAAGGAAGGGAGGAAGGAAGGAAGGAAGGAGGGAAGAAAGGAGGGAAGGAATGGAGGGAGGAGGGAAGGAGGGAAGGGAGGGAAGGAGGGAAGGAAGGAAGGAAGGGGGGGAGGGAGGGGGAAGGAGGGAAGGTAGGAATAGGGAAGACCCTAGGATGATAAGGCAGACAGTATAAGATAACAGATAGATAAACATTTGAATTTCACAAAGTTTTGGTTTTATTTTTCTGGGTTTTGGATGGAAGTTTTGTTGGGATTCTCCCGGATGATGCAACATTTTCTGCAGCTACAAGATGGTGTCGGTGGGACGAGTATACGTGGCGGCTCTGGCCGAGTACATGGCGGTACACAATGGGCGCTGTGCCCTTCACACGCAGTGTAATCGGCTTCCATTCAACAATGTTCTTCTGATCTCTTGTAATTATCTTCCATTTCCAAAAGAGCAGCACAAGTGACACAAATCACCCCCAGCGGGATCAATATCTCCCTCCAGGGCCGCGCCTATTTGTGTGAGGGGTCGGGCCGCTTCGATCCAGCCGGGGAGCGCAGAGAAAGCAAGGAGAACTTTGTCTGGAATCGTTAACCCGCCATCAGATGTGTCACGCCGCAGGGTGACGGCCCGCCTTCCATACCACCACCGCCTTGTCAGTGCCGGGCCATGACACCTTCTAAGTGCCGGGACGGTGCCCAGCAAGGCAATCCAGACACATTGGCATGACCTCCCCCCAGAAGGCCCCCCATCCCCCCACAGCTATGAGCCAGTCTGTCATTGTGAGACATCTGCCATATTTTCAGCACCAGCTTTGCGGCATCACTGCCAGCCAAGGTCCAAGCGACTACAGCCAGCCACACAGAGCCTTCGGGGAGGATGAAGCAGGTTTTCGGGGCTCATAATGACCCCTCTGGGATGACACAGAAGGTTGTCATCATGGCCCCTCCCTTTCTCTTTCCTTTGCAGCCGGGTCGGGTCCTTTCTGTTGGACTTTGTGCCATGCAAAGTTTGCGGCAGAAGCGCCTCCAGCTGCAGTTACAAACTGCATGTCAATGGGGAGCAGGAGCACGGATCGATCCCCTGGCAGACCTCCCATGAGCGATCAGCAGATTGAGCCAATGGTGAGGGCTGCCTGCCTGCTGAAGCGAGGCTTGGACTCAGGTGACGTGGCGGGAGCAGCTGGTTGTCTGTTGTGCTGCATTCAATTGTTGACTATTCTATGTTTGTGCATAGTGCTAGACTGGAGGGGAGGAGCCGGTACACCTGTGCTAGACTGGAGGGGAGGAGCCGGTACACCTGTGCTAGACTGGAGGGGAGGAGCCGGTACACCTGTGCAAGACTGGAGGGAGGAGAGCCGCTACACCCTGTGCAAGACTGCAGGGGAGGAGCCGGTACACCTGTGCAAGACTGGAGGGGAGGAGCCTGTACACCTGTGCAAGACTGGAGGGGAGGAGCCGCTACATCTGTGCAAGACTGCAGGGGAGGAGCCGGTACACCTGTGCAAGACTGGAGGGGAGGAGCCGCTACACCTGTGCAAGACTGGAGAGGGGAGGAGCCGCTACACCTGTGCAAGACTGCAGGGGAGGAGCCGGTACACCTGTGCAAGACTGGAGGGGAGAGGAGTCGGTACACCTGTGCAAGACTGGAGGGGAGGAGTCGGTACACCTGTGCAAGACTGGAGGGGAGGAGCCGATACACCTGTGCAAGACTGGAGGGGGGAGGAGCCGCTACACCTGTGAAAGACTGAAGGGGAGGATCCGGTACACCTGTGCAAGACTGGAGGGGAGGAGCCGGTACACCTGTGCAAGACTGGAGGGGAGGAGCCGGTACACCTGTGCAAGACTGAGGGGGAGAGCCGATACACCTGTACAAGACTGGAGGGGAGGAGCCGGTACACCTGTGCAAGACTGGAGGGGAGGAGTTGGTACACCTGTGCAAGACTGGAGGGGAGGAGCCGGTACACCTGTGCAAGACTGGAGGGGAGGAGCTGGTACACCTGTGCAAGACTGGAGGGGAGGAGCCGGTACAACCTGTGCAAGACTGCAGGGGAGGAGCCGGTACATCTGTGCAAGACTGGAGGGGAGGAGTTGGTACACCTGTTGCAAGACTGAAGGGGAGGAGCCGGTACACCTGTGCAAGACTGGAGGGGAGGAGCCGGTACACCTGTTCAAGACTGAAGGGGAGGATCCGATACACCTGTGCAAGACTGAAGGGGAGGATCCGGTATACCTGTGCAAGACTGGAGGGGAGGAGCCGTTACACCTGTGCAAGACTGGAGGGGAGGAGCCAATATACCTGTGCAAGACTGATGGGTAGGAGCCGTTACACCTGTGCAAGACTGGAGGGGAGGAGCCATTAGATCTGTGCAAGACTGGAGGGGAGGAGCCGGTACACCTGTGCAAGAATGGAGGGGAGGGGCCGTTACACCTGTGCAAAACTGAAGGGGAGGATCCGGTAAACCTGTGCAAGACTGAAGGGGAGGAGCCAATATACCTGTGCAAGACTGAAGGGGAGGAGCCGTCACACCTGTGCAAGACTGAAGGAGAGATGATGATCATGTAAATTCTGGCAGCTCTTGGATGTGTTCACAAATGTCTGATATAGATCAGCCCCTGCCCTCTAACTTGCTACAAAGTTACAATGCACAGTCTGATCACTGGGAGAGGGGATACTGAGGAAATGCCTCCTCCTCCTTCTACAAAGTTACAATGTACAGTATGATCACTGGGGGGAGGGGAGACTAAGGAAACGCTTCCTTCTGCCTGCAGCAGACTGATGACATCATCTCAGCCTTGGCAAAGTCACTGGCTGGCTTTTTAATGGGAAGAGGTGAAGCTTTTTTGATGGATGGTCCCGTTGCTGTATAATGGGACATGTCCGGGATTCATTCATTGTAAAGAGTCTGTAAAATGCCTCGGCTGCAGAGCTAACAATCACATAGTAAGAGCAGCCTTGTGTAACTTGAGAAAGGAAATGGGGTGGACAGAAAAGTTTCCCTATGTGTGGAAGTGACAACAAATGGAGGAAAATGTTCCAATGTTCGGGAAAAATGTTCGCCGCCAGAGAACGCAGACGTTTCCTTTAACCAGTAGCGCGGCCGTGATGTCACCGGCGTATAATGTCACTTGTGTTTCTGTTGCTCGGTTTAATGACTCACATGCTTCATTAAGTGACAAAAGGACAAATTGGCTCCTTTCAGATGTGACTGAAGTCTAATTATTGAGACGTGCAGCCGCCGCGTCCCCCCTGTCGCCGGCGCTAAGATTACCTGGGCTGGGGGGGGGGGGGGCTCCCCGGCCCTGTCATTACAGAGCAGAGGACAGCGGTGAATGGCGACAGATCGCTGGCACTTGTCATCACATCACGGCGGAGGGCACATGTCTCCTCTCGCTCGCTCAGTCGGGGGCTGCCAAATGTGTCTGGAGGTCTTCCTGACCTCAGAAAATCTCGCCGGCGCCCTGGCGGTTGTCCATCACGCCTCGCCGTGCGATCCGAGACACCTCAGGCTCGCGGAAATAGCGGATGAGCAAATTCTGGCATTCCGGCCGTCGCTGAGCGATGCCCCCCCGCGGAGGGCTGCAAAGGCTGCGGCGCGTAGCACGGCAACAGCTGCAGTAATAATGGCTTCCTGCGCCCCCTGCCGCCGCTTATCGCTGAAAAGCGCAGCCGCTACCAAACGGAGAGTGGAAGAAATAATTCCAGAGGTGTGCCGGCTGCAGAGATAACAATCCACCTCCGCTTTCAGTTACAAATGTGTCCGATTTCCAGCAAAAAGACGCTACTTGGCGTTTAGAAAAGAAATGGTAGCAAAATGTAACAAAACGTAATCATGGAAGAACAATTCGAAAATCAATTGGTGGCACCACCAGGGGCCGCCGCCGCCGCCGTCAGGCTCTTTTTAGATCTCGCGATTTGAAATCCGGGGCAGAATTGTTGCCATTTAAAAACACGGCACAACGTACGACACGCGTTCGGGCGGCGGCATTATTCTTTAATGGCACCCCAAAGGTGGTGCGAATCTCCCACCTTTGTCGCATGACACAACCGCATGGCAATCGTAGCAAAACGCGAGTTTAAAAATTGCGCTAAGCTTGTCGCTGAAAAAAGGAACAGGAGCGTCTTTTGGGTGAGAAAGACGCATTGAACTGAAAGGGCTGTCCGATGGGCGACACGCGTCCGCATGTGTACATTGTGCCCTAAAAATTGCCAGTGGAAACACTCATCCCCGCTGTGGGAGGTCTGGAGAGGGCCTTAGTCCACGCCACGTCCACGTTTCTCGCACCGCACGGGAACGCGCTGTCTCCTGTATTTGGGTACGGTCCAGGCCACCAAAACTGCAAGGTACTCCAGTACCATACGGCTTGGTACGGCGCAAGTTTAAAAGTTGCGCCTGTTGCGCTTCTTGCTTGTTCCTGCACTGTTGGCAGCCCAATTAAATAAATGGACTGCCGAAAACTCGCCACGTGGGAACGTGAAAGCCTTACGTGCTGCGACGCACCTGAACCGGCCCTGAAAGATCACACACAATAGAAAAAAAACCTTGGCTTAGCCCAAACCTTTTACATTATTTGCACACGTTTAAAAAATCATTTTAGGCCTGAAGGTTCATTAAAACATTAAAATATCATGAATTTTCTGAAAGCAGAGACCCCGGGAACTAAATGGTGGTATTTCCAACAGATTATCAACCGGAAAAATACACTAAAGGTAAGGGCATGCAAATGCAGCAAATTACCCAATATATGGTAAAATATAAAAGATTGCAAGTGGTAGACTAAGGTGGACTATGGTGGACTATGGTGTACTATGGTGGACTATGGTGGACTATGGTGGACTATGGTGGACTATGGTGGACTATGGTAGACTATGGTGGACTATGGTGGACTATGGTGGACTATGGTGGACTATGATAGACTATGGTATACTATGGTGGACTATGGTGGACTATGGTGGACTATAATGGACTATGATAGACTAAGATAGACTATGGTATGCTATGGTGGACTATGATGGACTATGGTAGACTATGGTGGACTATAATGGACTATGGTGGACTATAATGGACTATGGTGGACTATGATAGACTATGGTATACTATGGTGGACTATGGTATACTATGGTGGACTATGATAGACTATGGTAGACTATGGTGGACTATAATGGACTATGATAGACTATGGTATACTATGGTGGACTATAATGGACTATGGTGGACTATGATAGACTATGGTATACTATGGTGGACTATGGTGGACTATGGTGGACTATGGTAGACTATGGTGGACTATAATGGACTATGATAGACTATGGTATACTATGGTGGACTATGATGGACTATGGTGGACTATAATGGACTATGATAGACTATGGTATGCTATGGTGGACTAAGATGGACTATGATGGACTATGGTAGACTATGGTGGACTATGATGGACTATGGTGGACTATGATATACTATGGTGGACTATGATGGACTATGATGGACTATGATGGACTATGGTATGCTATGGTGGACTATGATGGACTATGATGGACTATGGTAGACTATGGTAGACTATGGTGGACTATGATGGACTATGGTGGACTATGATATACTATGGTGGACTATGATGGACTATGATGGACTATGATGGACTATGATGGACTAGGGTGGACTATGATATACTATGGGGGACTATGGTGGACTATGGTGGACTATGATGGACTATGATGGACTATGATGGACTATGGTGGACTATGGTAGACTATGGTGGACTATGGTGGACTATGGTGGACTATGGTAGACTATGGTGGACTATGGTGGACTATGGTGGACTATGGTGGACCTGTAAATCCTGATTGTATGGTCCATGCTCAGTGTTGGTCATATAACTTGGATCGGTGATGAGTGTTTCCACCTATAAATAAAACACATATTTCTATGTATTCCTGTCCTTTGCCTATCGGTGGGGTTCCTCTAGGTGTTGCCGGGCTGGAAGGGGTTAATCTGCATTTAATGCGTCTATGCAATTACTCAGCACCACATTAAGCCCCCGTCCGCCCGGCACACTATGATAAAATACTGTGATTTGTAGCACTCTCTGCGCTCGCACACTCAGCCCCCCGCTGATACACTACTTGAGCCGCCTCATATACATAGATCCCAGAATCCTCCGCACAACGCGGGATGGTGAGGGAATTGAGGGATGGCGGGGAGGTAGAGGAGTGCGGACTGGAATGGGGGAAACGGAGGGGGGGAGAGGGGGCGGGGTAAGGGGAGAGAAGGAGAAAGGGACAGAAGGAAGGAAGGGAGGAATGAAGAGGGAAGGAAGGGAGGAATGAAGAGGGGAAGGAAGGGAGGAATGAAGAGGGGAAGGAAGGGAGGAATGAAGAGGGGAACAAAAGTAAAGGAGAGAGAGAGAGGAGGAAAGGAAGGGAAGGAATGAAGGTAGAAAGAAAGGAAGGGAGGAAGGAAAGGAAAGGAAAAGAAGGGAGGAAAGAAGAGAAGAAGGAAGGGTGGAAGGTAAGAAGGAAGCAGGATGGAAGAAATGAAGGAGGAGAACAGGCTGTGGTGAGGAGAGAAGCACCAAATATAATCTCATACATCTCTTCTACTTCATTTTCCCCTTTTCTTCCCCCCTCCCTTTCCAGTCCTTCCTTCCTTCATTCCAGAAATTTCTACCTTGCAGATCTCAGTGCAGCTTTTAGCACAGACAGCCCTGGAGGTGGAAAGGTCAGTGCAGCCTTCTGGGGTACATTAGTGTTA